GACAAGATTTTGAATTGTTGTTTAGTTGCATCTTTTCAGAATAATTTGCACATTCATACTGCAAAATCCAAAAAGAATACATGAGATAAACCTTTAATCTCTAATCAGTACGACAGTACAAGAATGCACTGGAACAAAGCTTGTGACAGATCAGAAAAACAACAAAATAAACCAATCAACCACCAATTACAAACTCATTATAACACTATCCCATGAATCTACAAGCCCAAGGGAGCCAGCTTGCACTACCCACAAGGAAAAACAAAAACACAACACACCAACACAAACCCTACACAACACACGTAGACTATATATATAATGAGCCCAACTCAGCAACACCACAAACCTTCAGCTTCCTTGTTTTACACAAGCAACGTGCGTTTTCGTAAGTGATAAACCCTTCCTAATAAAGAAACAAAGAACCATCAAAACTCATAAAACATATAAATGCAGCAAGCTGTAGCGTGAAGTAAATATATTGTCAGGAAGATTAATGTATACCTCGAGACCACACTACAAAAGCCAGACCAATGCAAGTTAATCACAAGAATGTTTTGGTTCGCTAGTGTGCGCAGCAGCCTGAAACATGTTATAGATAATTTGAAATGTTCTTTAACTTTTGCTCAAGACGGATACTAATTCAAAATATTCTTCAACTTTTTGCTCAAGACAGATTCTACAAAAGTCTGCCTGCAGTGGGTCTCAACTGGCTGTAAAACTCAGTGAAATCCAATCGAAACATGAGGAACTTCAGGTCAACATGTTGCTGTATGGGCAGTTGAGACATGAAACCCTCGAAAACAGATGAATATTCCTTAGTGATTGCATCAATATCTTGCCCCATGTTCCGAAGAAATTCCCCAGCACGTTTAGTTATGTCTTTCCTGCCTTCACCAAGCAATGGCCCAGGCTCTGAAGCTTTGTTACTTGATGCCCTCTGCAATCTGACTTTATCTCGAGAAGTAGGGTCCGCAATTCTGCAATTTAATTAAAATAATAAAATAATAATTAAAATAAGTTAAAAGAAAATCTTTTATTCGGTGTCCACTGATATAGAGGGAAAACAGGTAAACAAAAAAAGGTTGTTACCTAGACTGCAATTCATAGATGCCTTCATATAACCGATCCGCATGACTGTGGAAACGTAATATGAGATCAAACAAAGTAAAAAGTGTCTTGTGAAGATTTTGCGACCTCTCACCAAGAAGAGACTTCTGGACAATCGAATGCAGGTACTTATCATGTGCCCCAAGCAAGTCATCAAGATCTTTAGCTACTTCCAATTCCCTCAAAAGATCAGACCACGAAACCTCTAACACCTCAAACATAATGTAATACTGCAGATTTGAAACGAAATGATTCATCTCATCCCATAAAACCTGACACTTTCTCGAAGTCAGAATCAACTGCAGCTTAACAACATGTGGAAGCTTAGAAAAGAATCGAGAAGTGACACGGTTCGGCTTCATAGTTTTCCATACACCGATCAGCGCATGCTCCACCCTCCTAAGCTTCCACAAAAAGTTAAAGATTCTCAGGTACCTCGACATAACGGATTCCGAAAACACAGTGTTCAATGGGACCCTTGCGTCATATTCCAATGAGAACACGTCCCATCCTCTGTCCCCCGTGTTGTGCGGCATCATCTTCACCCTTAACCTGTCCAGTATATCAGGGTCATCATATTGCGCGTTTGATGACCTAATTGCGCTCTCCAAAAGCCCAGCTAGCTTGAACGAGCTTATAGTGTTGGCGGGCTCCGACAGTTCAGGCCCAATAATATCCATCAAGTACTGAACAAAGTCGCCTTGACCGAGAAGCAAATATCTCTTGATGGCGAGACAATGCTCTTTGAACCTGTATTTTTTATACATTACGTCTAATAAATGTGTATCTACTCGTTTCGCAGCCTCTGTGACCAGAGATTCAAGCGCGTCAGTTTCCCCATAGCCGAGGCCGCCCCTGCGAGTGCTCGTCCCAGCCGCCACTGCCGCCTGTGTAGCTGACTCAGCCCAGCCTTGGTCCTCACAGCAAACTCTGAGAAAATTGATCGACTTCCCAGTCCTCAGAATGCGCTGTGCAAGAGATGAGGAGATGAAAGAAGGAAGCATTGCTGCATGGAGCCTGTATCCTTCCCTCCACAGTGACTCGGCTTTGACAGGTTGACCCAAGACAAAGAACTCGGCAAAAATGTCCTCGAGCTCACCTTCCAGAACCCAACTCCTCACCATCTCAAAAAGCGGGGAGCACACACGGCGGAGCAGCCTTTTCATGAAATCGTTCACTAGAGGGTCCCCATGCTGGGCATGCATGTGTATTGCCCCAGCCATGGCCCCGCCTTTTAGGACCTTACAGCTGTCAACTAAAAGAGCCATCAGCCTCATCTTGACAAGGGGTTCAAAAAACCAAACCGATAGTCTCCTCAGTGAAAGATAGTTACCCGAGCTTGCATTTTCTGAGACTAGTGGGATTCGATTCATTGCTTGGGCTTCGAGCACAGCCAGTAGCTTATAGTACTCAGACAGTTCATCCTGTAGTGCAGCACAGAATGCTTGACCAACAGTCCCCACATCCTCAGCTGGAAACCGTGCCATACTTTCCGTTATGTACCCTTTAACTTTCCTAAAAAGCCAGCCAAGTTCACAGAGCTTCCTCACCATTACCCGAGTTGATCTTGGTACTTTAACTGGCTCAGGCAGCAGATAGGCATCGGCCTTCTCGTCAAACTTTATGTACTTCCCATCAATTCCCTGACATGCATACAACACATCCCTCACTAAAACCACTTCTGAGACCTCATTTTCTTCTTTTATCAAATCTACAAACTCCCTGTATGCCATATCACGGATATTCTCAGGGTCTTTAGACACCATCAATATGCCTCCATTGTGTCGTTTTTCGATGAGCTCCCTTGACCTTGCACCCCTAGTGTTCTCACCTAAACCCTTCAAGTTCTTCGTATTTACGCTCAAACTACTAAAATTGTCCAACTCGGCACCTAGAATCCTCTCACCTCGATTCTTTTCCAATTTCTCCAAGCTACTCAAACCACCCCTTGAATTCTTAAAATTTCCAGACAGCGCCCTGAAATCATCAAAATCATTAGTAAACCCTCCAATGCCAAAATTGTTGCTCAATCCCCCAAATCCGCCAGAATTGCCACTAAGTTCATCGCTCTCAAACAATGTAGGCAGGCCTCCAGCCACGGCAGAATCTAGAAATCCATTAGAAATTATATTGGGCAGCTGGCTTTTCCTTGCTCTCCGATCTTCGGATATAGTCTTCAGCAAGTAAAGAACAGCCCATTTATTCTTCACGCTTCCGGGACCATTTTTGAGCGAGAATTTAGCGCAGAGATCGGCAAAAGTTAGGGCTTCGGAGGACTTACCGGCGGTGGCGAGGCGGCGCTTGATAGATTCCGCCATGGCCGAGTCATCGGCGGCAATTGATGGGGTCATGCGACTGGAGAGTATCCGGAGGGAGTATTTTAGAGCCTGATTGTACTCGTGCTGAGTGTACGACGGGGAGTTAGGGTTTTGATGGTTGGATTGTCGGGCGGTGGAGAGCAATCGGTGCACTAGTTCTTTGACTAGATCTACTACTCTCTGGTCGGCCTCTTCCATTACTGGGGCGGAGGGCGGAGGTGGCGGAGCCGCAGAGACGATTGCGTGAGTGTAACTGATTGTGTGTGCGCGTGTGTTTTCAATATTGGTGTTCGATATTTTGAGTTCTAATATTGGGCGGGCAAATGAAAAATGTTTTCTTGTATTCTGATGATGCACAATTGTTGGTAACACAAAATTAAAACTCAAAATCCATATGGCTACTGTTTATTTTATTGTTTTTTTACAAGTTACAACTGTCATGTTATAAATATGTAAGTTGGAGCTCGATTATCACTTATGATACTCGAACTTGGGTTGATATTAATAATTTTAAACTCGACTGTTAATCTTATATCCTCCATTCCTCTCCTCCACAAATTACATGGCAAAGCTACAAATTTGAAAGTGGGCAATAAGTATCATGATTAATTTAACAAAATAATCATTTATGTTTGAATGGGAAATATCTTCAACTAGTTTGTGATAATAATTACTTCCATTAAAACGAGAAACTCAAATAATAATAGTTTGTTAGTTTTGACTTATAACACAGATGGGCCTCACTAATATATACTGAAATCAGTGAACAATGTGTCCAAGGTGTTCTTAACAAAAGTCTTATATATCAAGGCCCAAATGTTAATTAATCACAGATAATCTAACTCATTTTTTTTTATCTTTTTTTTTTTTGCAAAATGATATTTCATTAATATTATCAAGCAACTTTTTGAAAATTGAGTCTTCCATATATATTTAAACTGTGCTTCTGGATTCATCATAAATATTATCTTTGCTTGACCTAGACATTTCATCAGAATCTCAATCAGTTAGTGTTTATTAGAAGCTTTTGTTGTCTTTGGAGTTTTTTCTCTTTTGCTTAGTATTTTTTTCTTTTTTCTTTTTTTCCTTTTCTTGCTGGATAGTTAGCCTGTTTTTGCTGACTAGGCCCAATTATGGTGCAGTGGTAATATCTCCATTTTGTAGTGCTTGGCAGGATTGGTTCTTGTTGGGCCCAGGAGTTGGAGCTCAACCATTTGGATCCTATGCCTTAGTCATTGCCAAGTGGTTGAGATCAACTTCTGTTTTTGTGTATTTTATTAGTCTCTAGAACATTATTTGATGCTTCTCTCAGCCTTGCTTATTGTAAGTCTATCGGGCTAGTTGGCCCTCGACATTGTATATTCTTGGTTTGAGCTATAAAATCTATCGTTTCGATTAAAAAAAAAAGACATTTCACATGCACTCTCAATAAACATTTTGGTTACTATTATATATTTTTGAAAAGTATTGGTCCTTCCCCTGTGATGTTACACAAAAATAGCATTGGAAAAGTATCCATATAATGGGAAAACACAAAACACAGCCCAAAAAGAGTGAATTTCTGGAGTAGAATTAATAATGTCTAGGCTTCAAATCAAAAACTGACATTGAATTTTAGCTTTCAAAGGTTGTGTGGTGCCGGTTAGAAACATTTATTACAACGTTCCTTTCCCCAGACCACATAACAACAGCTCACAAGAGGGTGAAACAAAACAAAATAGGGATAAAAAAGATGTAAAGAAAAAACTGCATCGATTGATGCATGGCCATTTCAATTTCTTTAAACCCAGGTAAGGGACCTCTGTTTCTTGTAAAAATCTTGTCTTCTCACTTTTCACTTTTAGCTTAATCGTTGATGGATTAAAAACCTGTAATGGAAATGTGTTGTATGTTAACAATTTCACCCCTATTTCTGTTTTTATTCCCCTGTGTTTGAACTTTTAGTTCCTAGTACTGACATTACTGAGAATGTAAAATGGGCTGCTGTTACTCTTCTGTTAATCCTCTGATGGGTCTAATTAGAAATTATTCTAGAATGTTCAGTTTTCTTGAGTTGAGACTAGTCTTTCTTTTTTTCTTTTTTCCTTCTATTTTCCCTGTTTTGCTCGTCTTGTTGTCATTGATATATTTGCAGTTCATTTCACCAATTAAGTTTAGGTAATCAAGTGAAGGGGCTGCATTCTAGCTGATTAATATCATTTCATATTGCTGAGTTTTCATGTGGGTTTATTTTTCTTGTGAAAGATTCCTTTTGGCATTTTATTAAGTGATGTCAATCATTAGCTAATCACATAACTTTGAAAAAATCTATTTCTGAACTTTTAAATTTAGTGGACAAGACAAATTATTAGTTGCGAGGAGGAACGGTGGAATAAAAATCTTGTGGTTCAGCTATCAATTCGTATGCATCTGCATATTAGAAAAATTCAGAAAAATGTTGTTTTGATTGCTCTTCTTGTTTTTATTTGACATTTTTTATTCTTGTGGCAGTTCAAACTTTACCTCTAGCTTGTTATACTTTCAAGGAATTATCAAAAAATGATACTATCATATTAGTTTTTTCGACTATTTTTCCGAAAAAAAAAATGGTTGAAGTGGTATTTACCAAATGTAGTTCATATTATTCAAATTTTCTTGTTGGCATTGCATACCGTGAAAGCAACAAATCTATATTCCCACGAAGGATAGCTTTATCTTTTTCTTGATTTTGTATTGAGGGTTGTTGGTGGAATCTAATCCAATCCAAGTTAGTTTTGTTATCTACCAAACCTCACCAAAATTTATAAATTGAAAAGGAGCACAAAAACATAGAAGTATAAAAAATTAAAATAAAATAAATTTTCCTTAATCTGGTCAACAGCAATAATAAATATATAGTACGGCAAGATTCTAAATTGCTAATCATTGATCACCTTTTCCTGTGTTTTCTGTCACTTTCCTCACAGCTTATTGTGAAAACTTAGCTAGAAACCAAATTTATTTTGTTATCCTTTATTGATTCTATTCTGATCTCATTTGGTGTCTTAGGTGCCCGGCTATGCAGGTGAGAAAATACAGCTAATTAGTAGGCATTGTAAAACAGTTCAGATTCAGACTTCCATAGAAAATGGCTTCAAGGGATGGTGCTCACAAGGAGTCTGTCAAATCTTACTCAAAATATGCAAATTGTGAGAAATCAATGTTGAATGCTGGAAATGAAAGTATTCCTATTACACTTGGAACTATTTCACGGGGGGAAAAGCACGGCATACATGATGTTGATGAGCTTCTTGAGTGCCTCACTTGTGCAAATTCAATGTATCCTCCTGTTCATCAGGTTAATATTTACTCAAAATGTAGCGGTTTTGTTTTAAGTTTAGTGATTGAATCTAAATGGTTGATTCATAGCTCTTAAGCACTTGTCCTTGAGCAGACTTCATATTTGCATTAACTGCTTCAAACTGTATTTTCTTTTACATTAGGCCTCATTTATTTTTTGTTGCTAAATTTCCCTTTTCTTCTTTTCCTTACAAACAACAACAACAACAACATACCCAGTATATTCCCAACAGGTTGGGGTCTGGGGGGTCAGTTGTACGCAGACCTTACCCTTGTAGTTATACAAGGAGGCTGTTTCCGTAGCGACCCAAGGTGCATTGCGCCGTTTGATTTTTTTTTTTTTTCTAGAAACTTCACTAATAGAAGAAGCACTAGAATTTAATTGAGCCATGCCTTCATAAAGCAGAGACAGAGGTATCTCCCATTTGTAGCTATAACTGCTAAACTCCACAACATTATTCAGGCTCCAGTGGAGCTTATCATATTATGACACATCATTGGTTCAATTTTAAGAAATGTAGCAAATTTGTGGGAATAGTCACTGTATTGATCTTATTTCATCCGCGCTAGTCAATATGCAAAAGTCCTTGATAATATTCTTCGCTCTGGAAACCTTTTTTTATTCTTATTTCTTAACGCAGTGTCAAAATAGACACATATTGTGTGCAAACTGCAAAAGAGCTCACAACTGGGTGGAGAAAATTGGTGAATCCTTGCAACTCCCGTGCAGATACCAAAGTCTCGGGTGTCACGATTTGTTTCCTCACCCCATAAAAGGCAAGCACGAAAAACATTGCTCGTTTAGGCCGTACAGCTGTCCTTATGCCAGTTACGATTGCTGTGTAACCGGTGATATTCCCTCACTAGTTAATCACCTACGCGAGGATCACTCGGTCGACATGCATGAAGGATCTACTTTTAATCATAGATATGTCAAATCAAATCCCCATGAAATTGATAATGCTACATGGATGCTAACTGTAAGTTTCACATCTATCATCAGTTTAATTTTTTTTGTTCCCTTAGAGAATAATGATGACACGTTTCAAAAGCAGGTATTGAAGTGTTTCGGGAGATACTTTTGCTTGCATTTCGAGGCTTTTTTACTAGGAACAACACCTGTGTACATGGCTTTCGTTCGTTTCATGGGCGAGGATGATGAAGCAAAAAAATTCAACTACTCTTTAGAAGTAGGGGCGTTTGGGCGTAAACTAGTGTGGCAAGGAATTCCAAGAAGCATTCGGGACAGTCACAGGCGAGTTCGTGATAGCCAAGATGGACTTATCGTGCCCAGAAAGTTGGCACTTTTTTTCTCTCCTCAACAACTTAAGTTACGCATGATGGGTCGGATATGGAAACTGTAATTTCATTTTAAAACACGTACCATCATGCTTGATTTTTGTGGCCTGAACGAGCCAGCTAGCCAGGATCTTCTGTTTTGTTTTAGGCTTTTTCTCTTCTATTGACTAATAATACTATCTATGGTTCTTGAAGATGGAACAGGAGATATCATTCCTTCAGATTTTATTAAATGCTCGTATTTTTTGGATGGAATCGAATATGCATTTTGTTATATTCATGCTCGTGTATTTTTGTACATTTTCAACATTGTCGCTTGTTTGAAATAACAACTGGCGACTGTATTGACCATGCGCTCTAAGTTGGGAGTTCATATCGAGCAATCCTATATTCAAGCAAACTTGATGGGATAACTAACTGATTATAGAGGGATTTCAATCAAATTCAACTATACATTTGGTTTTGGTCTGGTGCAAAACAATGTTAAATAATTCAAGAATTTTGTGTGCAATAATTAACTTGACTTGGACGTGCAAGTACAACTTTCTGTGTTAGTTTTTAGCGGTTAATAGAGCCTTTGCATGCGACTTTCCCGCGAAAGAATACACAAAGAAAAAAAGTCCTGTTCCTTTTGTGCCCCAAAAATAGACACTTATTTCAATTTCCTCCATTTTTTGTTGCCCATCTTTATCTCTGTCTCTCCCCCTCTTCTTCAAGGTTCATTCCCTTTCATCCTTTTTTCTTGTAATAATTTTATTCCATTCATGAGATTTTGATTTTTGGTGTCTGATTAATGTTGTCAAATGTCGATGCATGTGATTTCATCCCCGTAATTTCTTTCGTGTCTGTATTCATATTGTAATTGTAGGAAATGCCTCTTAAAAAAAAAAAATTGCAAATGTAAAACGATGATGGTATGAAGTTTGCCTGAATTTACAGCTGTCACGATTGGTGGAAAAATCCAAGGATGTTGTGTTGTGGAGGTGCAGAGGAGGAGCCTAACGGAGGTCCTCCGCCTAATCAATTTACGGCCCCACCAAAATCCGGTAACCCCTATTCTGCTGCTGCTGCTGCTGCTGGAGGTATTTTATTTTACATTCATCTAAGCTCCTTAGATGTGTGTTAATCTTAGACTTATTGGTTTTACATTTGGTTTAATTAAGGATTTAATAAACTGCTGATAATATCTCACTTCCTTATTGTTATGATGAAAGTGTACCCTTTTTTTTCAATTCTTTTTTGGTAATTAAAGGTAATGAAAGAGGAGAGCCAGGAAATTCAGCTGCAAGAAATGGAGCACCCCAGAAAGTTTTGCCGATCGAAATACCGGCACTCTCATTGGACGAGATCAATAGACGAACAGGTAATTTCGGGACCAAAGCCTTCATTGGCGAGGGATCTTACGGTCGTGTGTTTTATGCCAAGTTGAGCAGTGGACAGGAAGCTGCCATCAAGAAGCTCGATACCACTTCTTCACCCGACCCCGACTCTGATTTTACAGCCCAGGTAAAAAAAAATGAAAAAACTAGGCATTATTTTACGGTAAGGTCTTTTTGGTTAAAAAGTTTGTCATGTATACAGTTATCCACGGTTTCAAGGATGAAGAACGAACATTTTGTGGGGTTGCTCGGTTACTGCCTCGAGCAAAACAATCGAATCTTGGCCTATGAGTACGCCACAAAGGGTTCTTTACACGATGTCCTGCATGGTATTTATGCCCAAAAAGAAAAATTGACATATTTTCTTGAATGTTGTTTATATTTATTATTTAATCTGTTTTGCAGGTAGGAAAGGGGTGCAAGGGGCGGAACCAGGTCCCATTCTTACGTGGAATCAGAGGGTGAAGATTGCACATGGAGCTGCAAAAGGGCTCGAGTATTTGCACGAGAAATTTCAGCCATCAATCGTCCACCGTGATGTAAGATCGAGCAACGTGCTTCTGTTCGATGATTTTGTGGCCAAAATAGCCGATTTCAGCTTGACCAACCAGTCCTCGGATACAGCTGCTCGTCTACATTCAACTAGGGTCCTCGGCACATTCGGCTACCATGCTCCTGAGTGAGTTTACAAACATTTTAGAAATTTAGATTTTTTTTTTTTTTTTTTTNTAAGTTTGGTGTTTTTTTTTTTCTCTTTTTTTACTCAACTGCGGCAGTTTAAGTGTGCCCATTTTTTAAATCACACGCTTGCTTGCGTTAAAAATTCTTCAGGCAACTCCAAGATTGAGTGAAGATAAAGTGAAGCAGTGTGTGGATCCCAAGCTTGATGAGGATTATCCACCCAAGGCTATTGCAAAGGTCTGGAGAACTTGCTAAGAATCACATATTTTCTGCAAATTTGAACTTTTAGTCTTGTCTTGCACGCTTCGTATTATTAAAATTTTCAATTGTTCATTCTCTATGTGCCTAGATATGTACAGTGCATATGTTTGGAATCGCATCTAATATCCTTTTTCTTGCTGTCTCATAACAGTGTGGGGACTTTTTTTGCTATTCAACCACCAAAGGAAAAAGAAACGATTTTCAGCTTCAAGCCGGAGAAAATACGCATTTTCCTCAGCTAGAAGCTGACAATCATTTCCTTTTTCTAAATTCGCAAACTCTTCCTATCCGTCATTTGAATTTTGGACTTCTTTTTCATTTTTGGTCTCTGTGTTTGTCAGATGGCTGCTGTTGCAGCACTTTGCGTGCAATATGAAGCAGATTTCAGGCCAAATATGACTATTGTGGTGAAGGCTTTGCAGCCCCTTTTAAACTCTAAACCTGCTGGCCCTGATTCTCGTGCATAAAACCTCAAAAAACAAGATTGAAAAAAAGTCATAATCCCTGTTCATCAATTACTTTACTGCGATATTATATAGAAAAAATTACTCCGTTAATACCTATGTCACCGATGAGTTTATGTTCCTATATCATCATTTTATTTTTTTCTAAAATTTTTATTTATTTTATTTTTCCCCCTCATTCTAGCATCCCTAGCAAACTACATTTTTGTATGTAGTTGGAACATAAAAGGCAGACCTTTTTCACATCTCTCAATTGTAACTTGCACAAAAACAGACTTCTATAATATCATTTTGTAACTCTTACTTTGAATCAATCAAGCATACAAATACAAAGTGTAGTAGTTTTAAATCTTTCCTCAGGTTTTAACTATAATTACAAAAGAACCCTCTTACCTTTCTAACTCACAAAGGTAGCAAGAGGATGTTATGTGATTAAGCTAAGCTCAAGGGACAAAATGATCGCCAATCCAATTTAGTACAAATAATTCTTCATTCTCTGTAACGAACAAAACTAACGAGACGCTGCAAATATAGAAATTCAGGTAAAATTACTCTGGAAATAAGTTAACTGTCAAGCCTCTTGTGGCCTATGCAAAATGCTTATAAATAAAAGTTGTCTGTCAACAGGAAGCCATTAAAATGAGATTATACTATTATAGTATAACGCCTCCTCCCATTATCTATTGCTCTTTGCTCAACCTACTTCCAACAATTACAATGGGGGAAAAAACTAAAATTACAACCCAGATGATCACATAGATAGTGTGCTTATGTTGCTCCAATCTTTCTATATGTTTCTCTTCCAGCGGTAAGGGAAAGGTGGAAATCGTTTTAATGTATTTTCACCATTTTTCCTTTTTTATAAACACAAATATTGCACGGTACAAATCTGTAGGGGTTGAAGAGCACGGCCAGAAAATCAACAGGTAGAACAATCTATCATTACAATCACTTCTCGGTCCTCTTACATAATCCGGTTACTATTTTTCCTGAAAACCAGTCTTTCAAACGGGCCTGCACAAAAAATAAAATAAAATAATCAAAGATTATGAAAAATCCGCACGCAATCTTCTACAGAAACAGTGATTTAGAAAATCAATAACTAGGTTCCAATCAGAAAGTTACCGAACCAAACTCAACAGAACATAAAACATAGCAGTGTATTAATTCCTGCTTTTTATCTAGCCTATATCCAAAAGAAAGAAAATAAAAATGTTTTAGTGTGTTCAATCACACATATATCTATGATGAGTACATCAAAAATATCAATGAAAATGTGAATTGATGAACATAAGGAATCAATAATAAATAACTTTACCTATAATTAACGTCTGGTCCTAGGCTTGCAGCGGAATTCAGCAAATAGTGCTATGTGATCCGATGACCACTCTGGAGAAGGAAGAGCAGTGTCCTTTCGCAAGCTATCCTCATCCAGAAGCTCCAACAAAGACTCCACCGTTAAAGTGTCAGCTACAAGAGGAAAAAGTAAATAAAATAAATAAAGATAAGTCCAAATGAACATAAAATTAGATATTTTATCAATCCAGACTTTCATTGATCAGAAAATTACTGCTCGAAACCATACCTGAATAAAAGATGTAATCATGAGTACCAATAAAATCTCTGGTGCAGTTCGTAAAGAGGGGCTCATTTGTAGCAAGATCCATTTTCCTTCTTTGCTCTAGACCAAGACCAACCCCAGCTCTGACGAAGGATGAGTAAGCACTAACCTGTGAAGCAAAATGATTGAATAACACTCGCAGTAAACATAATTACATGTTAGCAAACGGATCCTAGGCATTCGAAATGGACTAATTAATCGTGCTATACCAATGGCAACTGATGTGTTAGTTTGGTGGTGGGGCGAAGAATTCCGAGCGGGTCCACAGCTAAATCTGGATGAAGAGGATCAACTTTCCCCAAAGCGAGAAGGGAGTGTGGAGCACTATTATTAAAATGTAAAAATTATAACCAAACAACCATTAGGAGACATAAGCATGTGAAATATGAATCAGCTGTAATGCCGAAAGGGAAATGACGACACACACCTTCCAGGTACAGAATTGAAATCCCCACAGACTAACATTGGGATATCCGCACTAGCAGCAATCTTTTCCAGGCCTTTCATAAGCGTGTGGACCTGATTGTATATTTTAAAAATATCAGCTTCACAACATGACGCTAGAGACAGAAATAAGTAAAGAGATAGACAGCCTCAGACGAAAACCTGCCAGAGTTTCACATCTTTCAACTCATGATGCACATGGACATGTGTATTTGCCTGTGTTCGTATACATAAGAATAGTACTGATATGAGATATTAAGCCGAATAGCAACCCCATTAAGCAGTTCTATGTAAAAATTAAACTAGATCATTATGAAAAATTAGGACAGAAGGACTATGTTATGTGTTTCAAAGTACCAAACATCACGAAACAAAACCAGGCAACAAACAAAACTTATAGGGTCAGAGCTGCAATTAAAGAGGTAAAAAGAAGCACATGGTTTATAAGTAAAAGTCATATAGCAGAAGTTTATTTTTTTATTTTTCTAAATTCAAGGGCTCATTAAACCTGTTACTTTAACAAGACAAATCAAGAAGATATGTGGAGAAGGGGATCACATGCTCATTCTTTTAGCAATTCTATTCAGCTGATCTTTAGAATCAATAGATCATCAATCATGATCAGAGTAAAGTTCAAAAAGGAGCAATTTTCAAATCCTCAGTTTAAATTAGACTTGCCTTCCACATTTCACCAAAAAAAAAAAAAAATTGCAATTCTAGGACCAACAGACACCAACTTTCTACCCCCAAAAAATTAAACACTGCACCTCCAAACATTCTGGCTATGCGAAGCCAAACTAATCCACTATGGTGAAGACTAAATCAAACACCTTCCTTACCACACTATCCCATCTCTTTGTAAATATCATGAGTGAAATCCAGAAATTAATTTTGTACATCAACCAATACACCTGACATAATGAGTGAATTTGGGCAACAAGATTCCCACAGTTACTCATGATGAAGGTTAAAAATAGCACCCAACAGAGGGCCTTTGTAAATTCTCATTCTAGCTTAGTATCTTGGCAAATATTAAAGCATAAATTTCGCTCAAATTAATGTGAAATCCTACCACACAAACAAGCTGGCGCTTTCCCGGATTATCAATGCTCTGAATACCAAACTTGGCTTCTAGAACAATTATTAGCGAAATGTTATCCTGTTTAAATGAAACAAATATCAAACGTTTATTAGAACCTTCTAGTATAATGACATGAAATTTCAATTAACCAATCAAATACAATAAAGAATCCAAATAGAAACAAAAAATACATAAATACCTTTATTAATCGATTTAAAGCATTTTTCTTCTGTGAACTGGGAACCAAAGCATTAGTCAGGGATTGTGCAGCTGTGTTAAATTCAACCTGCATCCAGGGATTCGAAGAGTAAATAAAAGAACCAAAGGAATTCAGAGCATGTGTTCAGGCAGAGGTGGCAGCACTCCGGTCACCTCATATTTTTTGACATGTGAAAATCTATCACGGCGGAAGAAAGTAGCGCAGCCATCAATGGTATTCATTTTCCCACCAAAAACCTGCAAAATAATGAATAGTGCATTAATACCAGTACAATTTTCACAGCCAGACTTCAAGAGATGCTTCGACCAACCTCTCCACTTTTACTTCTAAACACAGCTTGATAGCCATGTTTATCCAGCTCAGGTGCGAAGAATTCCTCAAAATGATTACTTTGAACCTGAAAGAAAGAGCGGAAAAGAAATATTAACGAAAAAAGGGAAAAGGAAGAAGTTCTAATGCTAAACTATTAGGATTAGGATTCACGCATTAATGGCATCCAAAAACTGAAAATAAACCAGGCAACATGCATGAGAAATCAAGTACGTCGTGATAAGTTCTAAAGCTATGAAAAGATAATTTCAAATTCCACATGGTTTGTATACCTCTTGAAGACAGATAATGTCTGCTTGGTAACCAACTATTTCTCGTAAAAGGTTTTGTCTACGGTAGGCCCAAGAAAGGGCCCACGAGGGGCAATAGCTGTATAGTTCATTCGAAGCATAGATATCGGATAGAATATTGTACGAGAGTACTGAAAATGTTACGCCAGATGAAGTGCGACCATTCATGTCCAAATGCGCAGCAACATCAATTCCACTAACAGATATCACTCGACGTGGACTGGGTGATGGAGCAGGAATCACACGAGCCGTAGTTAAGAGTGGGGGAGAACCCACTGCTAGTTTTGTTTCAACATCTACTACAACACACTCAAATTTTAGGATATGGCCAATATCATCAGCTGTTGGTGTATATGTCTTGGAGCGTCCAACTTCGAACCATGTTTCACCACCATTCCGAGTAACTGCCGCAAGATAGAATGCAGCAGTGCCGTTTGACAGACTGGGATTTGACTGAGATGTATTCATATTTGACGTTGTACTTCCTGTACTATTGAATCGACCAAAGATTTCTTCTTCCTCATTTCCATTTTCATTCACCGCACTAGCAGCACGCTCATGCAGAGCACGATGGTGTTGCCAGGCGCCAGCAAAACACTTGGGAGAACAATGGTAACTCTTGGCAACAGGTAATTTGGCCTTAACACATCCAAGGCATTGTAATGTAGCTTGCTCAGTTGGGTGGACACTACAAAGGGTAACTTTCTTATCACTTTGTACTCGGTACCTGCATAGATCAGTCATTTACAGGAAAAAAAAAAATTCAAAACCAATACACATACAATCAAGATGTAAAATGACAACACATAAATAAACTAAGTCCTCTCCTCAGGTACAGCTGATGCAATTATTCCCCCCAGAAGCAGTATTAGAGCAGCTGACTATGACCCTTACATTAATTGATGATATAGAAACTATGCCACTCAAAAAATTCTCGTGAAAGGATCATAAACTGCGGACAAAAAACATGGAAAAACTTGATTTACTCAAGCAATCTAGTCTTCATCTAGAAATTGTTGTCTAGCTTTCAGATAGCAACATAAAACAAGTCAAAGGCCAGCATCATCAAACATGGATATGCATTCAAGATATATATTTGTAAGCATTCATGTTCACATACACTAGCGAATGAATGAAATAATAAATCACATAATTTGCTCAAATAAAATACTTAAATTCTAAGGTCAATTCAAAATCTCACTTCATAAATGCACATGCACCAGAAAGAGGACTACCATCGGTAACTGCACAAATCACTGAATAAAATGGAATGTATTACACGCTAAGAAAAAAACTCACCATCTATATCTCAAGAAATGGCCATCAATGGGGTTCAACTCAGTAGCATCATCGGTAACAACAGAGTTGTCGGGTCGCTTCAAAAGCACATACGGTGTGGACTCGCAACCTACAATCGGTATATCGGATGGCAGGTGCACCCGCAGCACACTCAGCATTTTATCCTAGCTTCTGGCGAATTGAACTCCAGAGACTGTTCCTCTAACGTCGTCACAAACCCTAAAATCGCAAAGGACCGAGATTTGAGCACAAACTGTCGGCGGACTTGAGGCGGATCCGCCATCACCAGTGCCCAGCGCCAATCGCCAGCCTTCCTTTCTCAAAAGTCAAAACCTCAGTGATTCAAAAAAAGTACAAGAACAATTGTCACCGAAGTCGATGAGAAATGATTTATCTGACAGATTGATTCTTTTAAAAACTCGGATTTGAATGGTAAATCGTTGGTTCAGATTGGATTGATCCTTGCGCGGAGAAAGAAATAGATGGGGCTTTAGAAAGGGAAATAAGATCGACTAATTAGAGAATTAGGGTTTTACAAATATAGAAGAGAAAAATGAATATCAGTAGAGACAAGACGAGGTTGGTCAATAATAAATCAAAAGATAAGTGTCCGCGTCCGTGCATAATTACTACACTAACTACTGTATATGTGCAACATTATAAAATATAAACAAACAAAACAAAAAAAATAAATAAATAAAAGAAAAATTGTTTGTCTATATAATTGGATAAATTTACATCACATATCCATCTGTAGCATGTACATCATCACTTGAGAGTTGAGACACTAGCTTGAAATTTATTTTGTCAAAAAAAGAAAAAAACACCTTTCTCCATTGGCTTTCTGTCCTTCCCAACCTGCAACCAGTCCCAATATTCTTCTCCGGCAGCTGGTTACCCCTGGTGGCATTTCTGATTAGCCGCCATAAATTTATATTGATTTGTTTAAATGTGATTTTTTCAGTATAGCTACCCTTCTTCGGAAGCATTGCAGTTGGAATGAAATCACTGTCAAAAGACTCAATTCATCAAAAGCTAAAAGAGGGGGTTACTATTCTATATACATGTATATATTGTCTTGGGTTTAAGATTGTGTTAGTTTTACTTGTTTTGTGATGTGGCTTTTTTGTATTGTTATTGTGAACAATCTCTCATAGGAGTCTTGTCATCTCCCATTTGAAGTCTCCCTTGTGATTGTGAACAATCTCTCAGTTGGAGTCCATAAATCTCCAATGAGTAGTTTGTAGTCTCCCTTGTGAGAAGTCCCACCCACAGGAGGTGATAAATCTATGTAGTAGTTCTCATGTATTTCTTAGTACCGTTTGAAAAATTAAACACCTAAAAACACATCATAGTACTAAACAACAGAGAACAAAAACCAAAGCAAACTTACTTCTACCTTTCAACAAAACACCAAGATGCAAGTATCAAATAACCCACACATCTTTCTGCTGAAAAAAATTGTCGGACTCGAGTTACCAACTGCCACAGGAACACAAGAAAAGTAATATCCAACCGTCTAAATAAACAGTATTGAAGAAGAGACCCGAAGAAGATGCAGAATCAAAAGTTAATAACCGCCCTTGAGGTCGTTGACCACGTCATACGGAATGGGTGTTACAGTTTCAATGGTGGCACCCTCCACCATAAAACCAGGCTTAGGACCTTCTGGCTGCCTCTTGGTGCTGATGATTTTGCCCTGTGACTTGGCCTCTGACTTCAACTGGTCATTCTTTTTTATCCTCTGCAGAAACTCCACGTGGCACCTCGAGGGCTGGACATGCTCAACACGAACGTGTATTCTCTTCCTAATGATTCTGTTTCCGACCTTTATTCAGAAAAATGGAACCAAAGTGTGGTTATGCCAACTGAGTTGAGCAATTAAAAGCAAAAATGGCACAAGAACTAAGACGAATTTGCAAGTAGTGGGGTAGATGGATCAATCAACAAGTACATAGTTATTAGTTTTTTTGTTTTTTTATAACAAACTCTTAATGATACATTCAACTAAAAGTCCGGTGTGTAAAACCAGACATGAGAAAACGATGGGATGGGCACCCTCCAACCAAAAGAGGCCTCAATTTGCTTCTCTCTTAATCTTAATATATATAAAGGTGAGCTGATTGGCATGAAAACGGTGAACAAAGGTGCTTTGGAAGATTATGCTCATAAAATGTCTTCAGTTAATCATTTGCAGTCACATAGATCTACTAGCTAAATCTGTAAATTAGCATCTATAAGATTAGTTACAGCAGTGAAATCATCAAAGTCCTCCAGCAATGCATGCATGAATTAAACAAAGTATTTTAATTTGGAGATTGAAGGGACCACTAAACAAACATTAATCTACAAGAATCACTGAAAATATGACAGTGCCATGAGCTAATCTACAAGTCATATTCAACAGCGATAAAAAATGCCATAACACTGTAATCTATCAACATAACAATTACAAATGAAGAACTATTAGAACAAAAAGATATGTCCAACTACAATATATTAGATTCATGCCACATAATGCAAATAAAAAATGTAGATGACAGAAATTGAAGGCAGAGATGTTTGATACCTGCTTGTTGACTTCAACACCAATAGCGCGCTTTGTGACGTTCCAGACGCGGCCTGTTCGGCCATGGTAGAACTTGTGAGGCATACCCTTATGGATCGACCCGTTTACCTTCACATCGACATAGTCACCGATTTTGTAGGCCCGAAGGTAAGTGGACAAATGGGTCGGGCCCTTCTTCCTGAACGGCCGAGCAAACAGATCCCTGGTGCGCGCCCTCAAACCGTGACCCGCCGGCATTTTCTGGTACTTTTCAGCTGCCTCGGTGCTTGAGTGACTGAATCGCGGAAGAGGGAAATGGCTTAAATATATGATGAATGAGATGAGATAGGGTTTTATGTTTCATTGGGCCCATATGAGCTAAGTAATATTGGGCTTCACTAAAAAGTTGTTATTGGGTTTCACTTGGGCGTGCTCGAATCAATAAGCTTTGTGTTTTGTCGAGTGAGTGAAAGTAGCATCGAGTGTGAAATGGGGACTCGAGAAGTCTATGAAGAGAAGCTTCGAAGAGGGAACCTGCACCACGACCCGACCCTGAAATCGGGCCTCGGTACGGCCCGTTGCCCTCATTGTCTTTCTCTCTTGAGCCCGATCAAAGTATGCATCTGTGCTTGTCTGAGATACATATTACATTATGCGTCTTAGCTGTCTGTATAATGTTTCTATGACCAGTTGAAATTGATTTACATTTTGTGCACAGGCAAATTCGGAATGGAAAATCGCCTCAGTCTTACACGATGTCACTTCTGTGGTATTTGCTTTTAAGTGCTTGATACTTTATGAAAGTTCAGTAGCTTTTAAATGGCGCAAGGTTCGTTTGTGGATAGTGATAAATTTAGGTGGAATCCTGTAGAATGCTATCCTGCAAAGAGCTTATGTAGTTGCCTTTTACTTTCTGCCTTTGCTTAATTGTTTTAGTTTGTTCTTCCCTTTTTGCCTGGCTACATGATTTGCCTTAGCTTAACTATGGGGTGTTTAGTTATGAATTTCAATTTGTGTAGTTGGGTTTGAGGCAATTCTTTGATTACTTAAAGCATTTGAATAATTGTAGTTGTTGATTGTTTTGAATTATGAACATCTACTGAAACAACCATAGGAATTGATAGAGCCACTCATGAGTAATTAATTGCCTTGTTGAACTTGAATCATGTTTCTATGTCGGAGTTTGTTATGCAACATTGTATATAATACTTATGGGTTCTCGATTTTTACATTTGGATGGTTTCATATTCATTCCCCTAATCCCCTCCCTTCAAGATATGATGAGAATCCTAAGTGCATGTCCAAAGCAATTTCATCCCAAAACTTACTATTGGTATAATTGTATGAAATTCTTAGAGCACTATATTATTAACAGCAATGGTTCTCCAAAACTGATGTAGTGCATCGTGAACGAAAGGAACGAGGGATAATAAATCTCAAATCGGCCAAAGGGAGTGATGAGAGAATATATAGAGTCCCAACACATGTAATAACCCATCTTCCTAAACAAGTAAATACTAAATAATATTAAATATGCATCTACCAACTAGGAAAAACGAAATAAGGCATAATAATAAAATAACATGAAATAAATAATTAAACTAAGACTGGTATGCGGTCGTATTTCTTTCGTCTCCATCATAACCATACACATGACAAGGGTAGTTATGTAGAAATAATCTTATCAGCTTCTCATCTAGTTCAATAATTTAAACATCAGTACAACATTTGCATTTTGATTTGGTCATATTCGAAAGCTATAACAACACCAACAACAACATAGCCTTTTAGTCCCAAGCAAGTTGGGGTAGGCTAGATATGAAACCCAAGAGAACCAATGGAAAGAGAAACACAAAAAGGGCTCAAAACAAAAGGAAGAGATTGGAGCAAAAGTCACGGTTCTGACACGTTGATTGCTAGCCTCCAAGCGCTCCTACCCACCGCTAAATCCTTGGAGATATTTCAATCTTTAAGGTCTCTCTTAACCGACTCTTCCCAAGTGAGTTTAGGCCGACCTCTACCTCTCTTTACATCATCGACCCGCTGTAGAACTCCCTTACGCACCGGTGCATCAGGAGGCCTCCGTTGGACATGTCCGAACCACCTCAGCCGATGTTGAACCAATTTCTCCTCAATTGGAGCCACCCCGACCCTATCTCGAATATCCTCATTCCGGATTCTATCCCTTCTTGTGTGCCCACAGAACCAACGCAACATACGCATCTTTGCTACACTTAGTTGTTGGACATGTTGCCTTTTTGTAGGCCAACATTCAGCACCGTATAGCATCGCCGGGCGAATCGCCGTCCTATAGAACTTACCTTTTAGCCTTTGTGGTACCCTCTTATCACAGAGAACGCCCGAAGCTTGAAGCCATTTCAACCAACAGGTTGCAATTCTATGCCTAACATCAACATCAATGCTGTCATCCTTTTGTAGCATCGATCCTAAATACCGGAAAGTCTCTTTCTTGGCCACCACTTGCCCGTCAAGGCTAACGTCACCATCATCATGTATAGCCATGTTGAAAGCGCACGTCATGTACTCGGTGTTCGTCCTACTAAGTCTGAAGCCTTTCGACTCTAACGTGTCCTTCCACAGCTCTAACTTCTTATTTACCCATGCCCTACTCTCGTCAACTAGCACCACATCATCAGCAAAGAGCATACACCAAGAGATATCACCTTGTATGTCTCTTGTGGCCTCATCCATCACCAAGGCAAATAAATAAGAGCTCAATGTTGACCTCTGGTGTAGCCCTATTTTAATTGTGAAGTCGCTGCCCCCACATGTTCGGACACATGTCATCGCATCTTTGTACATATCCTTGATGAGGGTAATGTACTTAGATGGGACTTTGTGCTTTTTTAAGGCCCACCACATGACATTCCTCAGTACTCTGTCATAAGCCTTCTCAAGGTCGATAAAGGCCATGTGCAAGTCCTTCTTTTGGTCCCTATATCTCTCCGTCAACTGTCGTATTAGGAAAATCGCCTCCATGGTCGACCTTCCAGGCATAAACCCAAATTGATTTAGGGTCACAATCGTCACTCGTCGTATGCGATGCTCGATAACCCTCTCCCAGAGCTTCATCGTATGGCTCATCAACTTAATCCCACGGTAGTTACCACAGCTTTGAACATCTCCCTTGTTCTTGAAGATCGGTACTAAAGTACTTCTCCTCCATTCATGGGGCATCTTGTTTGACCGGAAAATGAGGTTAAAAAGCTTAGTTAGCCATACTAACGTTCTGGCGCCCAAGCATCTCCACACCTCAATGGGGATACCATCAGGGCCCATTGTTTTACCTCCCTTCATCCTCTTCATAGCCTCTCCGATTTCTGCCTCCCGAATTCTCCTCACTGAACGTCTATTGGTATCCTCGAATGAGTCATCCAACTCCAGGGTAGGACCCTCATATTCGAAAGTTGTATTGGATTTTAAAGTCATGCTGTAACGCCCCAATCGACTTTTAAAGAAAATCCATGACTTTTTCAAAAATCGAAGTAAAATTTTCGAAATTCATTTTTCGAATCATAAACATTTTGGTGTTACTCATTCATTTCAAAACATGATATTCTTAACCACATACTCATGAATATCAAAGAAAGGTTTTTCAACATTAACCATTCCAACATGTTTTCAAAATAACCAATTCAACATGTTTTCAAAGTCAACCAACCAACATGTTCAGATAAACCAACATAAGTTCATAAAACGGAAGCAATTAATAATCATAAATAAAATAAACCAGACCACTCACTCACCTTGCCTCGTCATCCGTCAACTGCTTAACCTGCATCCGTGAAGAGCAGGTGGGAGTGATTACAGTTGGAAAATATTGTACTCACACTATGCATATGAACAACATAATAATAGTATGGTCGCAGCATGAACATAAACAATAATAAGATCATGCCTCATCTCTAGTCACATCAATGACTTTTGCCACATCAATGGCTCACTCCTGTGTACACATCTTTCATTAGTCGTGGAAAGGGGATTCATTACCCTAACGGCGAGAGTGAGTGCCACGCAAGGACACGGCCTTTCATTAGGTCTTAAAGAGACTTGCCTCGCAAGGGCAACCGTATTACATCGACGGGAACAACCGTAGCGATGGCCATCAAGCTCACATCGATAGGTTACATGCTCACATGCATACATAGATCATACCAATTTTTTTCAAACACATTTAAACACACATATTCATAGACTTTTTAGAATAACTAACCCACCTGGATACCGTAGAGGATGATGGTGAATGCACGCACAAATTTGGACGAGGGCTCGACTCCTCGTAATCTACAAATTAGGATTTAATTATTATTAAGGGTTTTGATTGTCAGGCAGAGAGCACGGAAAATTAAACACGTAGGAGCACATAATTAAAGTGTAACCCAAAACATACATAAGGCACGACAACACATTAAACCACAAGCCAAATTTTCCAATCACTTTCTCAATTAATTAAACCACGTGTCCAGGGATTTTAAAACTGATTCAAATAACAGACAAACCAAGGAAGTTGAAATGTTCACCCAAAACAAATAATAAAACCCACCTATGAATTTGAAAATAATACAAAGGAGATCAGATGCTCATATACCTACTCTTATATATTATGCTAAACTCAAATTCATACAGACCACTTTAACAAGTTTAATACACAATCAATACACATAACATTTCAAACATATATTCCTTAACTAAACAAAAAACAGCAGCATATTCAAGAAGTGATTACTAACTTATAAACTCACTTAAAACATCCTT